AGTTATTTGTTCCCTTGGCATTCAGTTTTTGAGTTCTTTAATATTTTAGGTATTAGTGCTCTGTCAGCTCTCTATCAGATCATTCTAGGTATTTTCAAAACCTGCTTCTTGTCTTTCTATAATCTGAATTTTTCTAAAACTATTTTTATTTACCCTCTCCCTCTATTAAGCAGATACAGAAAAGGAAAGGATCTTGTGTCTGCCATACCTGTTTTCAGTTTGGTGACTTCCCTTTTTTAACCTGGGGTCTCTGCTGACCAATGTTACCTTTGCTTTCTATGGAATTGTCATGTTCTTCCATACTCCCCAAACTCCTTAACTCAAATACTGTATGTTCAAGCTGGGGTCTGTCCTTTAGTGTGTTGGTAGCTAGGGAACAGATATAGTACAGATACAGTCAGTGTCATGTGCTTTCCAACCCCCATGTATCAAACTCTTTCAGGAGAGATGCAGCTGTGGGTATCAGTCTCTTCATCATCAGATTTCTTAGACTCTGCAGTAGTGAGCATCAAATCAGTGGCTCCATAAGTTGGCCTTCTGCTAAACTCTATCTCAAGGCTATTGAATTCCAGGACTATGGTTGGTCAATGAGGTATGCTTCTGGCTGTGGAGAATAGCATCATCCTTTCCTGTATGTTGTACTCCTATGCCTCTTGCAACTTGCACTTTTCAGTTCATCAGGGGCCAGCCCTCCTGCTTTCCACTACTGCCACCACAGTGACCCACACTCTAAGGCTGTGGCAAGTAAAATTTAGACTCCCCATTTTGTGATTGTTCCTTGTTCTCATGTACCTCAGGGTAGCTCAGTTTTAAACAACATGTTCATTCTCAAGGTGGCATCTGACTATGGCTGTCTGGGACCTATAGAGTGACAAAATGGAATTACTGTGTAGTGCTGACCCAGTTGATAGAGAACCCACTATATGAACAAAAACTTCAGCTAGATGTGAGGTTTGTGAACTTGGGGATTTTCATGAGGGTAGGACCACCATCCTCCCAGGGATTCCAGGGATGAGACATTATCTCTTCTCACTTTCCAGGGAGCCACATGGCTGAGCTGTGCTGGGCTTAACTGTCCTCAGTACCTCATTTGCCCTTTTCTCCACTCTGTCTCCTTTCTGTCACCCCTTTAATGCATTCTTAAGTTCCTCCTCTCTTTGTCTCTTTGGCATATAGCTTTTACATTATCGTTACTGCTACTTACACCACCACTTCTCCTTTACCAGATCATGTGGAAAAAGCTTCCAGCATGCCATCGTACCCACAAGTCCCTGCACTTTGTTTTCCCCTCTTTTTCAACTGACCTACCCAACAATTGCCTTTTCTTCCCTCCTTCTTCTCTGTTCATGTTCCACAGATGACATCATCAGTCTTCTTGATTTTCTAATACTCTTTTCTCTCAAATTCCCTTCATCACTCTGTCTCCATTTTTCCCCACCTCATCTCGTTTCTCAGGAAACAACCTTGTTTGCTCCCTGGAAGCTTCAGTTGCTACTGTTTGCACAGTCTACATTCTTTTCTCTCATAGACACATTATACATATTCATTGACTCTAAATAAGCAAATAATTGATAAGTCAAATTGATTTCTTCTTAATACATTCAACCCACTAATAATGTAGTTAATGACATGTAGAGTTCGCTGTAAATTTGTCTTAATATCGTTTTTTTCTACTAATCTCACAGGGAGGTTGGAAATGCAGGGCTAGTCATCACTTCTTTCTCCTTGCTTTGCAACAACACTGATTCTCATTCTATATGCCACTGTACTCTTAGTAAATTTGATTTTGCTCAGGCTTCCTGTTGTCTTAGTGAACTTGTGTGGTTATAACAAAATATTCAAGACAGAGTGATTTATAAAGAGCAGGTATTAATTTCTTAGAGGGCTTGAGGTTGTGACTGACAAGAGCAAAATGCAGACATGTTTAATACCTGGAATTGACTGCTTTCTTCTCTGAAGGGTTCCCTTACTGCTGATGTTGGTTGAAGTACTTTTATTTAAATTATTGTTATTATTTCTTTTAGTGTGTGCATTGCATGCATATATGTATCATATCATAGCATACATGTGGAGGCAAGATGACATCTTTGTGGCACTGGTTCTCTCTTTCCACCATTGAAATTCAGTCATCATGCTTGTGTCGAAACCCCATGTACCCTCAGAGCCAACTCAATAACCAGGAGGAGCTCATTATTAAGATGTTAATTGCATCCAGAATGGCCTATCAACTCCTAAAGTCCTTCTAATTTGTTTACCTTGGTGATTAAATTTTAACATGTGAATTTTGGAAGGCACAAGTGTAACAGAGCATCTATCAAAACAAAGTATATTTTTATGACTTTTATTAGAATTTCTCTTTGTTCACATTAATTCTAGTTTAGGAGACCTGAAGATTTCCAAGGGAACCACATTCCTAAAGATATCAGTGCAGTGCTTAGTTGACATTCAGTTATTTTGTTTCTTTTCATTCATATTATATCATATTAGTAAAGCTCATCCCATCTGGAAAAATTCTCATTAGTTAGAGAGAGTGGAATAGGAAGAAATTATCTTAGATTCTGGCAGGAAGATTTAAGTGAAATATAATAAAAAGTGACCATGAGAACTGTTAAACAAAAGTCTTAATTGCCAATGAAAATCATGACTTTACTTTACTAATCATATTCAATATAGCACTTGACCTCATCCATCAGGGACAAGAGAAGAATATTAAAAACTAGCTTCTCCAACATTCTTAGAATAGATTAAATAATCCAAGAGGGAATACTTATCTGAATTCCAACCATGAACTAAAAAAATAGGTTTAGTTAAAAACAGTAGCTTAAAAAATATATGAAGGACAAAATATCAATCCTATGAATACATTCTGGTTTTCTAGTATATAAAACCCAAATTTGTTTTCTATGATGAAAATACAGATAAATCCTAAATGTTAAGCCTAGGTCACTTATTCATTGTGTAATTGGTACCACCAATATTTTTCATATGGGAAATTTATGCATAGGCCTTGTATCTACATTGTTTCTGCTATTCCCTCCTCCAACTCCTCATGTGTATCCATAAAGTTCATTCTATTTATTATTAGTTAGGGTTTCTATTGCTATAAAGAGACACCAGGATCATAGCAACTTTTATAAAAGAAAAACATTCAATTGGGTGGCTTACAATTTCAGAGGTTTAGTTCATTATATTCATGGTGGGACACGGTGGCATGCAGGCAGATACGGTGTGGGAGAAGGAGTTGAAAGTTGATACATTTTGATCTATATGCATCAAGAAGTGGTCTGATGCACTGGGCATGGCTTGCATTTTATCCCTCAGTGACACATGTCCTCCAATAAAGCCATACCTGCTCCAACAAAGCCACACCTCCTAGTAGAGCCACTCCCTTTGAGTTTATGGGGGCCATTTACATTCAAACTACTACATTATTGTTATAGATTCCTACTCATGTAGATGTACATATATATATATATATATATTATATGCTAGTGAGTTCAGTTACTGTTGCTCTCATGTATATGTATTCAAAGGTGACAATATTAGATTGGACAGTCTTGGAGAAAATGGCTTCTCCCTCTCAGTAGACATTGGCCACCTATCGCTCTTCATTTAGAGTGGGATCACATGGAATTTTCTCTGTCAATGTTGGCTTGTAAACTGGTGTTCTTATTATCCCAGTCTTACTTGGGTAACCATAATGTTCGGAATTCATGGGTGCATTTCATTTTCCTTCAACCACTATTCAGTAGTAAGTGTCTGGGTCTCTGGATCTTGTAATCTTTCCACCTCCTCTCCCACAGTTTTATCTTAGCCTTAGATGGAAGGTTGCATAGCAGATGTATCAGTTGAGGTTGAGCACACCACAGTCACTTGTTCCCTACCTTGTGACAAATTATAGGTCTTTGAAAAGTCTCCACCTGTTGCAAAGAGAAACTTCTTTACATATGTCCCTATTAAGAAAAATATTTTGAGTATTCAATGCTAATAAGGGATATTACAGAACAATTAATGTATTAAGTATGTCATAAAAAAGACAATATAATTTGTAAAAAGTGAAGCAAAATTAAGTAAATCTTATTTTAAAAACACATTGCTGGTTTTGGCATCTTCATCTAGCATTAGCTTTTTAGACAAAACCACAGCAACTGTTTAGAAACAGCTTTGTATTTGATGATGATTGTTACTCTTGCTAGCAAATCATCTTTTAAAAACCTTTTTATTTATTCTCAAGAATAATACATGAACACAGTACAATATGTTCATATTTACCTCCTATTTCTCCCTCCACACATGACCATTCAAACTTCATGTTTCTTTAAAATTGCATATATGCTCTACTAAGTCCTACCCATATGTACATGAGTGTGGGGCCATTCTCTATAGCATGAAAATCTTATTCATGGAAAATTCCTCTTTCCATCAACTATCAATCACTAGTAGCTGAGTAGGGGGTGGGTCGTGGAGATCATCTAGCCTACCTATGTCAGAACTTTGTCTGCCTTAATCTTGTGCTGATTACATGCAAGTAACTCCAGCTTTGGTGAATTTATGAGAGTGGTTGTGAGCTTATGAGTGTGATGCCATCATCTTGCCCTAAAGATATTTCCCAGCACACCCCCCTCCAGCCTCCTCCTCTTCTATTCTTTCTAAAGTGCATTGGTGCTTTTTGTAGACTGAAACCATGTAAGGAAAATCCGATGAAGTAATGATCAGTGAATAAACACACTGATATCTCCTTCTGTACTTAGAAGTATTATTAAGGACTAAGATGAGAAATGCAAATGATAATAACCACAAAAATGTAGATAAGATGGATAAAAATACCAGAAAACATATCAAAATTGACTCAAGAAGAGCCCCAATGTGTGTAGAAATTACGCCAGTATTTTAAAATCTTCTCACCAGGCAAACACCAAGTCCAAATGATTTTTACATGAGTTCTACCAAATGTTCAAGATTCAAATAGATGATCATTCAATTACATAAAAGAAAGTAAAAAAAGTGGCAAGACACAACTTTATTTTAGGAACACATATGTATATAAAATCATGAGTGTGCTATATGCAACATATATAACATTTAATGTTTTTATTACATATACGCATACTTCATGAAGCTCAAACCAGAAAAAGGATAGTATAGAAAATCACAGAGCTGTCTTTTTCATGAATAAACATGCTAAAAACCATCATTATCATGCATATAAACGTATGAATTTTATAAATGTAAGTATATAACAAACTCAAAAATGTCTGAGGCAGTGTCTTACTATATAGCCCTAGCTGGTCTAAAATTCGGTATGTAGATCAGGCTGGCCTGAAACACACAGAGATCTTTTTGGAATTACAGACAGTAGACATCACATCCAGATATCCCTGGTAGGAAGGCAAGGAGGTGCAATCTGAAGCTGTTTGGCAGCCCACAGAATGGGAACAGATCTTCACCAACCCCACTTTGTACAGAGGGCTGATCGCCAAAATATACAAAGAACTCAAAAAGCTAGTCTCCCAGGCTTTAGGTCTCTCAGGAGATGTGTCAGTGTGACTTCACATGAGATGCTTCTCTGGACCATACATCCTTACTGTTTACTCTGAAACTGAGCTTCCTTTGGGAGATAGCACTTTGATGGGTTGATCCTGTTGTGTCTGACTCTTGGGGATATGGTGTTGTCTTGCTTGCACTTCAGTTTGTATGATGACAATCTTTTCTGTCAAAGGTTAACAAACCAGACATCATCTTCGGATAATAAATGACAAGAAGATAACTGCAGAAAAGTCAAGACTGAGAAGAATGCCATTCCAGAATCCCATGTAACAATTTAATATGAAAACATGCATAGGGTCTGATTCCCTTTCTTTCTAAATCTGATTAGATGTCATAAGGAGGATTTTGGGGTTACTTTGTACCCTATTAAAACTGACTTGTGAAGCAACCTTGTTTCTAATCTAAATTTAAACTTAAAAATAAATAATAATAAAAAAATTTTTAAAATGTTGATTTAACTGGTAAAAAAATAAAAATAAAACAAATCTAAGTATTGAATGCGCCTTGTTCTGTTTCATTTCATTTTTCATAAAATCAAAGCAGTAGTAAAAGGTGATAGATTTTGGAGAGCTCATTCATTCTATTGGTTTGTTCTTTATTGGTCAAAAATGAATGTTTACGTGCAATTTATAATAAACTAGGTTGTCATGAAAAAAATTTCCCCACATGAGCAGCTTCCAATGAGGAAAGATTTAATTTGGCTCACCATTTTGTAAGATTTGAACCTGTTGTTTTTTGGCATGTGGTAAGACCAAATATTATATTGAAAAGGCATGATGAAACAAAGATGATTGTCTCATGGGAATCACAGAGATGCACAGGGCTAATGGCAAGAAATATCCTTCACTTCCTATAGCCAATGACATAACTTCTTTAGCAAGGCCCTATCTAGCAATAGGTAACTTACCATGTACTCATGATTGGACCATTAACAAAGTTAATACCTATAAGACAGAATCATTTCCCAATAGCACTGCAGCTAGGGGCTAAACCTTCATTACAGTAATGTTGTTTTGGGTGAATACTTAACAATAAAGCCATGACCTCTTACCTCTGTCATCCAAAATGCTAATGCCCCTCTCTTAATTCAAAACACATGTAGTCCATCTCCAAGAGGCACCATAATCTTAGCACTCTATAGTTTCTCGAAAGTCCAAATCTGGTATCCTCATTGAGATTTTAGCTGTGAGTCCATATAAAAAAATGGAAACTAGTTATATATTTTAATATGATGGCTAAACATTCTCATTTCAAGAGGAAGGAATGGGGAAATACCAACTAACTAGAACAAAGCAATTCCAAAATCTATTAGGTCAAACACAAAATTCTAGATCAATGTTTAACATCTGAGGTACCCAGAAGCATGATATGAGCTCAAAAAGTTTTGTTCAATCTTGCCCTGGTGGCCTTACAAGCTGCATCTATACCACCTCTACCTGGCCTGGCTTTACTCATTGTGGCTTTTATCAACAGAAATTCACTCCCTGAAGGCTCTGCTGTGTTGTAGGCTTCACATTTGCACCTTCAGGAATACAAAGGCAGCCAACAGGATTGTGACCCACTATACTACACATTGTCTACACCCTCACCCATGATAACAAGTCTTGCAGTCTGCATTCCTGAGAAAACATCATGTGGATGAAAAAAGTATACTTTCCAAATTCTTCGCAACATCTGAGTCCCAATGTGGCTCGCCTCTGAGCCTAGCTGAACATACAAAAGATCTTCCCTAGAAGGTCATGTAAGAACAGGCTTCCCCTGAGCCCTTTTCTCCAAACAAAGTCTTTCAAGTGAGTTTCCTTCCATATATCCTAGCCTGCAATGGGCAGCATCAGGTGAACTTCTCAAAGACTAAATTGTCTTATCTGCTCCTCTTATGTGATTGAAAGCTCTTATATCTGTTAGTATCATCATCTGAAGCAAATTAATTTTAGTCATCTAAACATGGATGGAGGAAATATAACTAAACATGAAAAAATGCATGATTTTCAAAGCAAAAGGAACAGTCACAGAAATTAATTGCATACTTAGCTACAGAGAGTCTGAGGGAATCCCCAAAGCACTGTGCTATACAGGCTAAAGTGACTTGCTGTTACTGCATAAATTTAGGAATAGCTTATATGATAGCTAGGATCTTGTCTATTCTATGTGGTTGCTAACAAATATACAATTAGCTAATTTGGAATTATGCAATATTACGAAGTAGATACTTAGACATATTTGACCTTGAAATTCAACTTATCAAATTCATCAAGCCAGGGTAGATATAATTAGAGAAACATTGACAGCTTCAATATACTTACAAAGACAGTGGGAGCAAATGAGATATGAGATCTACACAATTAATCTAAGAGAAGAGAAACATATACAAGAACAATGTAAAAATAAACCACAATGAAACATACACAGAAACAATGTAAAAACAAATCACAATAAAGGAGAGAAAAATTAGAAAACACCAACTAGACAGAAATTTGCATTTCACAAAACAAAACAACAAAATAGACATAAGTAAACTCTGGCAAAACTGAACAAGAAAATAAAGAGAGGTTAGAAATAAAAATTATAAAAACAAAGATGGATGCCATAATCTAACAAACTAATAAAGAAAAATAAACAGCTATATGCAATATTTTAAAACAGTACAACGAAGCAAAACCAAGTTCTGTAGTTTGTATCAGAGTAGAGAGGAAGAAAGGGTGAAGGATGGTAATACTGTGATCAAATGAAACCTAGGTCAGCCCATCCCCATCAAGTAAAAGATTTGGGTTTGGGAATTTCTATCAAAATTCCATGCCATACTTTACCCATCTTCCTTTAGAGTTTTGCTATGAAATAGAAAGTAAGTCAAATCTAATTAATGTACAGTATAAAGCAAGTACAGACGTGATTCCTCAGCTGAATGAACAGGAGGAAGAGGAAGGTGGAAAAGCCTTTAATCATGAGCACTGGGGCAAAGGTAAAAAGGAGCTGCCAGTCACAGGAGTCAAGTGTGAATTCTACAAAGTGGTTGTGATGAGTCTGTCTCAGACGTCTAAGGGGAGGCAAACAGCAGAACATCTACCAGAAGAGCCTAATACATTGCTTAATCTAAGGAAAATAATTTCCGCTAAAGCAAAAAGGAACATAACAAAAACAAAGATCATTTGAATTTTATTGCAAAATTCCACAAACGTTAAAATAAAGTTATTACATATAAAATCAAAGTATAAAAATGAAATATCACCAGGCAGTGGTGGCACATACCTTTAATCCCAGCACTCGGGAGGCAGAGTCAGGCGGATCTTTGAGTTCAAATAAAGCCTGGTCCACAGGACAGCCAGAGCTACACAGAGAAACCCTGTCTTGAAAAATAAAACAAAACAAAACAAATAAAAAAGTAAACATCTTTCTGTGTCTCGCAGCAACCAACTAGGATGTGAAGTAGGAAATAGGAGAACAGTCACAGCCAACAACAATAAAACTCAAGAATGTGTAGAAATTAATAAAGAAAACCTGAGACCTTTATGGATAATAGCAAATCATGTTCAGGATTGAATGAGACATTCAGCTACAACATAACTGAAGATTTTTCACTCAGCATAGACAAAATTAATTGAGGGTGATAAATGGAAGAAGATGTCTACAGTGTAAAAATATCACAAAATATTAATGTCTGAAGTATACAAAAATCAGCAGAAACCAGACAGAGATCAGCAGAAATGTCAGAACTTCATAAGGAAAATTCTGGATAAATTATAAGATAGTGACATGCTGCTATGATACTGTTTCTATGTGATACTAAAGTCAATCTCTCCCCTTCCACACAATGACATGCAAACCATTGATTAGCTCAGCCTCCTCATGATGTAGTCACCGCTAGAAGTACCCTCCCAGACCCCCAAGGATGCCCTAATAATTTTATATCAACTATCCAAAAAGGCACAAAGAATAAGGCTGCTAGGCATATGTAGAAAAATAAAAATTATTCAAATGCATACCAAGTGAATAAATTAGTTTTTGAAATATGATTTTTTATTGAGATAGAATCATATCACTTTCCCCTTTCCTTTTCCCCTTACAGTCCTTCCCTCCTACCCCCTTCCTCTCTCATGTTGATAGCTTCTTTATTATTATTACTGTTACATATATGTATGCATGCATGCATGTATGTGTATCCACAAATTAATTGAGCTACAAAAAATCAACCAGATACAATAAGCTTGCAGGTTTAAGGCCATTTCTTACTTTGAACTTAGTCATTTATGAATAAGTTAGAGAGCCAGGTCTATATAAGGAACTGTGTTTCCTGTACTCATTTCCTCTCTGCTAAGCCTAGATTTCCCATCAAGAGAAACTCCCATTTCCCATCATATCAGGAGGACCTTGCCTGCAAGTAGCTTGTTTGGAGAGCTGATTTCATATGCAGAGAGAGTGCAGCTTTCTTATTATTTCCAAGTTGTGCTTATGATGATATTTAGTGGGTGTCTTTAAACTCCACTCTGAACACTTTCTGACCAACAGTGCATGACTTCCTAAATTACTAATGGAAGTTTGCCTCTCCCTAAGGTTCTTAAGTTAACAACAGGGAGGCTAATAGCATATTGTCTTTTGCTTCCCTCCCTCTGTCCCTCCCTCCCTCTCTCCCTCCCTCCCTCTTTCCCTCTCTCCCTCCCTCTCTCCCTCCCCCTCCCTCCCTCTCTCCCCTCCCACCTCTCTCCCCCTCCCTCCCTCTCTCCCCCTCCCTCCCCCTCCCTTCCTCCCACACCCCTCCCTCCTCACTTTCTTCTCTCTTCTCCCTATTTATTTATTTTAAATTTATTTATATTTGTATTTTTGTCAATTTCATGCAAGTATATATCACTTTGTGATCATATTCAGCACCTTTTACCTTATTTTGTTCCGATTTCTATTCCTATCAACCCCTTTCTACCTCTTCCACATCCTAACCAGTCTCATTTCCATTTTTATGTTTTGTGTGTGGGGGAAGTGGGTAAGTGTGTCTGTGCTTGTGTGCACACAGTATTGTGTACTAGATATCACTGGGCTGTGTTTATTATTGCAGTGGAGATGTCATACTGAAAAGATGGTGTTTTGTAGTGTTCTTTTGATTTTGCAATTATGTCCCTTATTTTGATGAGCAGAATATTATAGACGTCTCATTTAGGGCTAGGGACTTGGAATTCACTTATTCTCAACATGTTGACCAATCTACATTTAAACCATTCCTGTGCTTAAAAGGGAAAATCTGACCAAGTTGAAGAGCAATACTAGTCTATAAGTATAAACACATATTTCTAGAAGGCAGTATCACTAAATGTTCATTTGGCAAAATATTAGTGATAAGTATCTGTCAGGGCAGTGTCCTCCCCATCTATAAGCTTTTATCTGGAACTGGGATTTTCATTTAAAAATCTGTGGCTTCTGGAAGGAATGTTATCCACCAACCAATATAAGATACTTCTGTTCAAACTCTTTCAAATTACAGTTTTAGTTTAAGTTTCTGCTTCACACAGCCCATTTTGTTAACCCATCCAACCCTCTTTACTACCCCATCTTTCCATCCCCATACTCTTTTAAATCTTCATTCCCCTAGTTATGCCCCTTCTACTTTCATATCAATTGCATCTTTTTGTCAGTCTCCTTCTAAGACCATATCTATGCCATGGCTCCTTTCTTTCTTACTGGCCTCTATAGATACTTATCCCGGCACAGAATTATAAAAATTCAAAGTTAGGTCCATGCGTCGTTGGTCCCTTTGGTTCTCTGGGTATGTGGGTCTCCCATTTCCCCAAACTGTCCAAGACTGTGAACCCAAAAATGTTACAGAACACAGATCGAATGGAAAGTGGCATAATTTAGATGAGGTGCCAGAATTCTTCTTTCTGTTGGAGTTATTGCAACAAGAATTAGTGTAATAGCTAAGCCAAGGGAAAGGTCTAGTATAAATCTAATACATTCTCCTTGATTGAGTCTCAGAAAGAGAGCATCCCACTGCAGATGCTGCTGAAAGTGTTCCCATGGTATTTTTCTGTCACAAAGGCATGGTTTCAGAATAGAAACCATTTTTAGAGGATTGCACTTTACCATTGCCTCAGTGGCCTATGTGACTGGTACCAATACTTAAAATGTTGCACTAGTGAATCAGGTCAACATGATTTTTATTCTGTTAGTTGTATTAGCCAAGACACTGTGAATTGTTGG